TTAGCCCAAGCCTCTATCCATCTGGGGCCACCTGTTAAGATTCAGCTACCAATCCACAGATGCTGTGCTTATAGTTGCCTCGAAAGGCCACACCCAGCAACCGAGGCCAGCTGCCTCCAGTGTGAGTCTAGGTGCTGCTCAGCAAGGAGCACCTGACTCGCTGAGGATACAGCGATGTGGCTTGGGTGGGGCCACGAGTTGGGGAAGGCGGCGTTTCAGGGAATCCTCTGGGCTGAGTGACCTGTTATCCAGATTGATGATGTCAAGGCTATGGCTGTGCTGTGTCCACCCACTGGGTGGTGGGGGGAGGGGGACGTTCAACAGGGAACAATGGATACCGCCGGCACTTCTGTACAGAGCGAGTCTTGCCTTGGCCCTCACTCTCACAATGTTTCACTGTAAGTCCCTGGTGCTCCTGCGCGCAGCCTAGTTAGCACTGGTGCTCAGAGCAAGCAGGTCCAACACCATGAAAATCAGCTCGCAGACGCTGCCCCTTTAAGAGGTGTCCGCTGCTGCTGCAGCCTCTGTCCCACTCAGCCGCTGGGGACTGGGCAGTCCCTCGTCCTCACCCTGTCCTACCTTCTGCCATTGCAAGGTGATTTCTTGGATTTCTCCCTAGTTGTATGGCTTGTTCATCTCAGGCGATTTTTTTCCTTGCTGCTGCTCCTTGTTTCCGTCACAACTTTGATTTGGTCGCCAGAGGGATGAACAGAGCCTCTGTCATCTACACCACTTTTTTTCTCCCTCTGGTATGCGTTTTGAAACTCCTGACCTGATTTTGTTTTCTTGTTTTTCCTGCCTTTTTTTTTTCTGCCTCTAATATTCTTTAGAATAAGGACATAGAAAAGTCAAATAAATCTCTTACCAACCTCTTCTTACCAAAAAAAAAGAAAAATTAGAAAAATAAGATGCAGAGGTGAAGACTAAATTCTTGAAGGATACATTCACCTTTGTAATGCCAGTGCCTTGAAAACACAGAATCTGACACATGGCAGGTGTCCAACCCAGGGCCTGGAACATAATATTCAAGCCCCTTTGATTTACTGTGGCATCGTCTTGTCACGTATTATAAAATTAGTTAGGAAGAATGTTGTTAACCCTCTCTGTCACAGAGAACGGAATCAGACTGCTCCATGAGTGCAGGCCTAGATATTTGATCACACTGTATTAGTTTGCTAGGGTCTGCCGTAACAAAGCATTACATTCCAGCTGGCTTAAACAACATATACTTACTATCTTCTGGATGCTAGAAGTCCAAGATCAAAGTGTCAGGAGGGTCGGTTCCTTCTGAGGGCTGTGAGAGAGAAATCATCCCATGATTCTCTCTTAGCTTCCAGTGGTTTGCTTGACAATCTTTGGCATTCCTTGGCCTATGGAAGCATCGCTCCATCTCTGCCTTCCTCTACACATCGCGTTCTTTTGGCATGTTTGTCTGTGTCCAAATTTCTCCCTTTTTATAAGGACACCAGTCATACCGAATTAGGGGTCAACCCTTCTCCAGTGTGACCTCATCTTAACTCATTACGTCTGCAATGACCCTATACCCAAATAAGGTCACATTCTGACATACTTGGGGGGTTAAGACTTCACCCTATGAATTTTGGGGCACGCAATTCAATTCATAATGCATACATTTCAGGATCTAGTTGGTTACGGTTTCTGCAGGGGAAGATGGAGGCTCTTGTCCAGTTACACACTGAAATCGGAGCCCAAAGCTCACTGAGCTGACTGGGTCTGCTCAGTGTCCCCGGAGCCGCTGCCACTGTCATGCATTGTCATCACGCACGATGCATGTTCCTAGCATGCTTCTGAAGACCGTGGTCTGTCCCGGGACCTGGCAGGTCTCACTGACAGCCTTTCATCCTATGAGAGAATCTAAATGGCAGCAAGGAAGATTTCACAGCTAAAGGGGCGCCCTGGACACCTGCCAATGAATGACAAACCACCCAAGTTACCCAAGGACCTAGTGGCCCACAGAATCTTCAGAGTCCATGAAAAGGATCTCCAGGACAAGCTACTGAGATTTTCCAACGGAAATTTAGAAACATCTTGACACTCCTCAAACCAGCCCGGTGTACAGCTAGACTTCACAGTGAGTCCACTACCTGGGCGCAGACCCCAGCTCTGCTCCTCTCCGGCCTCGACAGTAACAGCACCTACACCCTAGAGTTGTCATGAGGATAAATAAGTTAATCCATGCACCCAGAAGTGAGGGGGTTGGGAGGGCAGGACAGAAAAACTGGCAGGCAGGGCCGATCTACCACTGATGTGAAATCACAACATGGCCTAGTTCACTAAAAAAGCCTCTTATGTGGATGACTTGCTGTATCTCAAGAGCACAATGGAAGCACTTGACAAGTGTCACTGAAGTCTGATGACAGACAGAGACCTCTACAGCTCTTTTACTTGGGTCCTGCACATGAGGATGTTAGACTGAGTTATTAGAGATGATCTAATTAAAATGATAAAATCCGCTGCCTCCTAGAGTAGCCCCCTAGAGCAAAGCTGTGGGGAAGCAGGTGCCCGAGGCAGCACCGTCACCTGCTACTTCCCTACATTTTCCAATCTGGGACACAGCAGCGTCCGTCTATCCTCTCTCCCTCCCTCCCTTCCTCCCTCCCGCTCCTTCCTTTCTTCCTTCTCCCCTTCTCTCCCTCCCTTGTTTTTTAGAGTAGAGCCTTTCTGTCAAATAGAACACCAATCTCTGAAGCAGGCAAATACAATATTCCAGTAGCACGAAATGAATTATGTGCTATCGCATAACATTGCATTCAATGAAAACCAAACTTTTCTTCACTTAAAATTGCATTTTCCCAGGGCCCACGCACATGCCGTTTCCTCTACTCGAAACACTCTTCCCCCACGTTTCTGCAAGATTTACTCCCTCACCTTCCTCACACCTTTCCTCGCAAGGCAAGACCTTCCCTGGCCATCTATTTAAAATAACTAAAACTAGTCTACGGCCATGCCACCCTGGACAAGCCCGATCCCGTCTGATCTCGGAAGCCAAGCAGGGTCGGGCCTGGTGAGCACTCGGATGGGAGACCACCTAGGAAGACCAGGTGCTGTAGGTGTAAAAAACTAAGAAATAAGGGATTGTAAGCTGACAAGGTCCTTGCAATCTGTGAGGTCAACCAAGGGTTGCCTTGCCTAAAAAAA